CACGCGCCAGGCACGCGCCGTGCCGGGCGCCGGCTCCGGGCAAAGCTGGCAGCGTCCCGGCTTCCCTGGCTCTCCGGGCGCGTTCCGGAGCGCTGTGGGCCACGCTCACGTTGGGGCTTGCGGCGCAGCTCGCGACGGGCCTCGCAGGAGGCAGGTTCGGGGAGAGCCGTTGGCGGGTGCAGAGCGGCTGGGGCTGCTGCACAGCACGCGGTGCTGCTCCTGGCTCATGGTGCTGCTCCCGGCTCACTTGCGTCCTGCTGGCCTTGCAGGATGGGAAGGAGTTTGGCATCGGGGAGCTCGTCTGGGGGAAGATCAAGGGCTTCTCCTGGTGGCCTGCGATCGTTGTGTCCTACCGGGCCACCTCCAAGCGGCAGGCCGTGTCCGGCATGCGCTGGGTGCAGTGGTTCGGAGACGGGAAGTTCTCAGAGGTGAGTCCTGCGAAATTGCCTCCGCTGCGGCCTTGTGCTGGCTGCTCCCGCTTCCGTTCCCCACGCACACGTGTGTGCACATGTGTGTGCACGTGTGTGCACATGTGTATGGACGTGTGTGTGCACATGCACATCCACCTGCAGCTGCCCGGGGCAGAGGCTGCAGCTGCTGCGTGGCACGGCCAGCGCGCCCGTCCTTGCAGGGCTCTGTGGAGACGCTGACCCTTGTGCAACGCTGAAGCAGGACACGTCCCTCGGTGGCCGCTGTCACTGAGCGTTTCTTGCTCCCGCAGGTGTCAGCGGACAAGCTGGTGGGACTGATGGCCTTCAGGCAGCATTTCAACTCCTCCACGTTCAATAAGCTGGTGTCCTACCGGCGAGCTGTCTACCACGCTCTGGAGGTAACCGGGAGCCAGCAGGGCTCGGGGTGCCCGAGATGCAGCCAGGGGAGGGAGCTGGGCTCCGGGCTCTGTCCGTGGGGCTGCCGCAGCCTGTGCTGGACGTGGGCCGGGCACGGGCATTTGGGCAGCTCCACACGGCGCGTGCGGGGCGTTTTCAGAGCTGCCGGCGAGGGCCCAAGGCCACGGTGCAGCATCAGTCACTGATCCCGCGGTGGGGAGTTGCTGCCCGATCACGGCATGGGGTGCTCCAAGGTTTCTGAACTGCGGCTGCTTCTCTTGCCTTGGGGCCAGGTTGCGAAGAGCCGCTCAGGGAAGACGTTTGCAACCAGCCCCGGGGAGTCCCTGGAGGAGCAGCTGAAGCCCATGATCGACTGGGCCCTCACCGGCTTCAAGCCCTTGGGCTTCAAGGGGCTGAGACCCCCTAAAATCCCAGGTTTGATGGATTCCTGAGCTGCGTGGTGGGGCTGGCTGGTGCAGGCGCCTGGAGAGGCCGGCTGGGCCATCCGGCCACATGTGCTCCGACCGGGACAGAGCTCCGGCATAGCCAAAGCTCTTGTCCTCGGGGTGCTCGGTCAGGCTGGAGCTGGCGGGGCCTGGGGCGCGACGGCATCTGCCTGCATGGGAGGAAAGGGAATGGGGAGGACAAGGGGGATCCCATCCTGTGCGGCCGGGACGCTCCTTGCGCTGTGCCCTGTTGTGCCGGGCAGGGCCGCGGTGGGAGCCGGCCGCGGCTCAGACCACGGCACCGCGTTGCTCTTGCAGAGAGCGGGGCGCTGCGGAACGGCACCGAGGAGGTGCTGCCCCTCGAGCACTGTCCCCCCACCAAGAGGCTAAAGACCAACCCCTGCAACAACAGCAAGGAGCAGCGGGTGGAGGAGGACCAGAGTCGAGGTACCGGCTGCCGCGGGGCCCTGCATGCGTGGAAGAGACTCAGGGAGGGAGCAAATGGCTCCAGGGGGAGGCAGCACTGAAGGGGGCTCCTGGGGCTGCCCCCCATCGCTGGAGCAGGTTTCTGCGTTCGAGGATTTATCTTTTTGCAGAGTGAATAAATCTGTGTGTTTTCTCTTTGTTTCCTAAAGAGCAAATGGTTTCTGAAGTTACGAACAACAGTGGGAGCCTCGAAGGTAGTTGGGGTCCCCTCCTCTGTCCTGGG